TCAGGGAGGTGTGGATGCTCGAGTGTGTATGGGTTAAGGGGTGAGAGAGTGAGAGGGTTTCGAGAAAGGGAGAGGGAGTGTAGAGAAAGAGTTGAAAATGAGGTCTCGGAGTGGGGGAAAGAAAGAGAGAAATGGGGAGAGTTGGGGTACTGCCATGTGGCAGTTTGAGGGTGGAGAAAAATGGAAGAGGATCCTCTCTTGAGCATAGGATGGGGATCCTCCTGACCACAAAATTCGGGCTGTTCAATTTTAATCCAACAGTTGCAATTATTATAACTTTTTAAGGGACCCCCTGTTTAGAGACGTTGGATTAAAATTGAACGGCCCAGATTTCGTGGTCAGAAGGATCCTCATCCTGAGCTAAGGAGGGATCCTCTTCCGAGAAAAATCCCACTTTTAGATCTTGATTGAGTAAAGAACTAGGGACTAAATTGATAATTCCATTAAACTTTTAGGAAAATTACGAAATTATACATATAATTGGGGGGTAGGGTGTAACAGCTTTGGTCCACTCACCTTTCTGTTTTTGCGCCCCCTCAGGAGTTAGAATTGATGCACATGATCTCGGCATCAGGACACTTCAACATTGATATCCTCAAGTTTTCTCAGTGTAGGTACCATTCCCTTGTTCGTATCTTTTCCTAGTAATCCTACCATATTATTCTTAGTAGTAGCATGCTTTGAACACGTTCCTGCTTTGGTATAATGATTCTAATTGCATATATTTTATTTGTATGCATGTTTAAAATGGCTTCGTCACCTTCGGGTATCGCCCAGCACGTGCAAGCACTACGACACCCTGGTGACGACGCTACAAAAGAAGCAGGTACTGGATATCATTGAGCAAAACTTGGGGATTGGATGTCGGCCTTCTAGTCCTCCTTAATACCAAGTGAAACCTTGGAATTAGATTTAGTCTGCTTTAGGGAACCTTGGAGGGTCTCGTAGTCGAGGCGAGTCCCACTTATTTTAGTTCGAAGACATACCAAACGCACCCAAAAGTCCAAAAGTCCAAACCCAATAAACCCCTCTTTTCGTTAGAGAGGGGCCTTATCTCTTCTCGACATTCTTCCGCTGCTGCACCCCAACAAAATGTTCGCAGCGGCGCCCTCCTCCGCCTACCTCAACCCCAAGCCCACGGTCCTCCCCTCCTCCGCCCGCACCCTTTCCCCGCCCATCACATCCGCCGCCGCTTCTAACAGCCGTCGACCAGTCACTAAATGTCACCTGTCCTCTAGTACCCCCTCGCCCCTCTCCCAAAACCCTAAACCTTCCTCCACCGCCCTCAAAACGCTCTCCAAAGCTCTCGCAGCCGCCTCCACAGTCACCCTCATCTTAAATTTGCGATCTTTTGCCGGGAACGGAAGTTCCGGCGGTGGCGGAGGTGGGTTTGGAGGCGGAGGTGGAGGGGGAGATAGGTTCGGCGGCGGCGAAGATGGGTTTGGTGGGGTTTTGAAGAGGCTTCTGTTTGGGTCACAGACGGCCATTGCGGACGAGCCTCAGTCCCAAGAGTGGGACTCGCATGGGTTACCGGCCAACATTGTTGTCCAGCTCAACAAGCTCAGTGGGTTCAAGAAATACAAGGTCTCCGAGATCTTGTTCTTCGATCGGCGGCGGTGGAGCACCGTCGGCACCGAAGACTCGTTCTTCGAAATGGTATCCCTGAGACCCGGCGGCGTTTACACCAAAGCCCAGTTGCAGAAGGAGCTGGAAACCTTAGCCAACTGCGGGATGTTCGAGAAGGTCGATTTGGAAGGGAAGACCAACCCAGATGGGACTCTAGGCGTTACAATCTCGTTCACAGAGAGCACATGGCAGTCAGCGGACAAGTTCCGGTGCATCAATGTGGGTCTGATGGCGCAGTCGAAGCCCATCGAAATGGACCCGGACATGACCGATAAGGAAAAGCTCGAGTATTTTCGGAACCAGGAGAAGGATTACAAGAGAAGGATTGATAGGGCGAGGCCTTGTTTGTTGCCGGCGCCTGTGCAGAGGGAGGTGCTGCTGATGTTGAGAGAACAAGGAAAGGTGAGTGCGAGGCTGTTGCAGAAGATTCGAGACCGGGTTCAGAAGTGGTATCAGGATGAAGGGTATGCTTGTGCACAAGTTGTGAATTTTGGGAATTTAAATACCAAGGAGGTGGTTTGTGAGGTTGTAGAAGGGGATATCACCCAGCTGCTTATTCAGTTCCAGGATAAGCTCGGGAATATCGTGGAAGGGAACACTCAGATCCCCGTGGTGAAGAGAGAATTGCCCAGGCAGGTACTTATACTATCCCTTAAACGAAATGTATTACTTATATATTTAATCGGTTTTTGGTTGTTTGTTGAATTGCATATTCGTTTACATGATTAGCTATGAGATAGCCTGTTTCTTTAGTCATATGTATTTTTCCAATTTGCAATGGGGTGATTTATTGACTCGTTGAACTCTTTGGTGAATGTTAGCTTCGACCGGGTTATGTTTTTAACATAGAAGCAGGGAAACAAGCTCTGAGGAACATAAATTCCCTAGCTTTGTTTTCAAACATTGAAGTGAACCCACGGCCTGATGAGAAGAACGAAGGAGGGATAATTGTTGAAATAAAGCTAAAAGAACTAGAACAGAAGACAGCTGAACTTAACACGGAATGGAACATTGTTCCTGGACGCGGAGGTTATCCGACTCTGGTATGTGGAAAGTGATCTCTTTGCTCTGCTAATCAATCATGAAGATTCTGGAGGTTTCAATTTTGTAATTCTGATTGTATTGTATGTTGTATGTATAGGCTTCACTAGAGCCTGGTGGAACTGTTACATTTGAGCATCGGAATCTCGGTGGCCTGAATAGGTCTATTCTGGGATCAATAACCACCAGCAACTTCTTGAATCCTCAGGTAATCTTGCCTTACCAAGAGTATACCCATTCTGTATCTAAGTTAACTGATAGTTTAATACCTTTGCATAAATTCTGGTATCATGTCTTTTATGTGGTTTATCTCTCAGGATGATCTTTCTTTTAAGCTTGAGTATGTGCATCCATATCTGGATGGCGTGTACAATCCCCGCAATCGTACTCTCCGTGTAAGCTGCTTCAACAGCCGAAAACTAAGTCCAGTCTTTACTGGTGGGCCAGGGGCTGATGAAGTTCCCCCTATTTGGGTTGATCGAGCTGGAGTTAAGGCTAATATAACAGAGGTGATTTTCATTGTTTTTCTTAATGTTTGATGTAGTCCGTTATGATTTATTCAACAGAGGTACTTGTCATTTTTATTTTTACTGTTGTTATGATTACCTAACTTGATAGCCTATGCCTACCAGAATTTCACCCGTCAGAGCAAATTCACCTATGGACTTGTAATGGAAGAGATAACTACACGTGATGAACGCAGTCATGTCTGTTCTAACGGCCAAAGAGTATTGCCAAGTGGAGGAGTCAGTGAAGACGGACCTCCAACAACTCTCAGCGGTACAGGCATTGACCGCCTGGCATTTTTACAATCAAATATCACCCGTGATAACACCAAGTTTGTGAATGGAGCTATAGTTGGTCAGAGGAATGTGTTTCAGGTAACCTCATATCTTGTACTGTGTAGCTTTTAGAACAAGCGGGGAAAGAAAAAAATGTTTTAAAGGGAAAGCCGTTCTCATGAATTTTGTTTTAGACTTATCTAGAATTGTTGTTTTTCTATTTACCTGTCAGTGTAACATGTTCTAGAGACTTTGTTAACTTGCATACTTTTTCGTATGAAATTGCAGGTTGACCAAGGCATTGGTGTTGGCAGCAACTTTCCCTTCTTCAACCGTCACCAGCTAACGTTAACAAGATTTTTCCAGCTGAAGGAAGTTGAGGAAGGTGCTGGTAAACCACCACCACCTGTTCTTGTACTTCACGGACATTATGGTGGCTGTATAGGAGACCTTCCAAGTTATGATGCATTTACCCTTGGCGGTCCATATTCTGTCAGGGGTTACAACATGGGCGAGATAGGAGCAGCTAGAAATATCCTTGAGGTGGGAACTACTTTTGAACATTTAACTCGGTCCTCGATATGATGTCATAGGCAGTGAAAGACTTTCCCCATACACAAAAATTACGATATATGATTAGCTGATTTCTTTTCCCATTGTTATCTCCAGCTTGCTGCTGAACTACGGATACCTGTGAAAGGTACACATGTATATGCATTTGCAGAGCACGGAAATGATCTAGGAACGTCCAAGGAAGTCAAGGGTAACCCTACAGAGGTATACAGGCGATTGGGTCACGGGTCAGCATATGGCGTTGGCGTCAAGTTAGGTTTAGTAAGAGCTGAGTATGCCGTCGATCATAACTCTGGCACAGGTGCGGTATTCTTCCGTTTCGGCGAGAGGTTTTGAGATGCGGCTAGTATTTTTCAGTTTTGCTAATTTGGCCTTTAGTTTTTCGAAACAACGATTTTTTATTTATGTCGCAATTCGTTTCGAATGGTTTGATAAACATAAATTCAACTTGAGTGAGAATTGTTTATGCTTGTATCTGACGCAGTTGCAACTAATAAGAGGCATGGGAGACTTAGGATTATTATTTTCGTTACTCTAAATCCGAATGCCATACAACCACTTGATTTTCATTACTCTAGTCTCTCTTTCCCTCTTAATTTTTCGCCCTTAAACTTCCGGTCTCCCTTCCGGAATCTCTCCCTTTTAGATTCTCTCGACGCTTGCTTTCTACTTAATTCAATTCCTCCCATTCTGATTACGGATTAGGATTAGTAAACAAGCCTAAGTGCGGCAATAGGAACAAGGCTTCATCTTTGATGCCTTAAACAAAGGATTGGAGTGAGGTCACGTTTCAATGCCGCTCCCCTTATCGGCTTTGTTTTCCCTATCACTTCCCTTCGCCGGCTTGATTGATTCATCTGTTGCAAGCCATGAGCGGAAAGAACTCAAAACTTGATTTGCCTGCAAAATTATCTGAATTCCAATTTTCTGCAGCAAAGAGATGGATCAACCGTTATAATTGCGAGTTGCACGAGCAGCTGCGTTGAACACATACGCCTCGAGCAGGCTTGTAGCACAAGAAACTTGTACTCCGCTTGATTTCATTCATCTTTGTTGATTCTTTTACAAGATATGATCTCAGCACAAGCTCCAAACAGAAGCCCAAGAGACTATAAACATCGACTCGTACTCTATATAAACTATATAAACTATACCCTTTGATGAAATAACTTGACTTCGAAAAAATAATGAAGTACTTCAGCAAGCGCATCTTCTTTTCCGCCTTCATACTTCCAGTCTCCATCTACCATACAACAAACCCCCCATCGATCGATCTCTCCCTTCCTTCTCTCAACCTTTGCTTTCCGCTAAAGTGCGGTAATATGATTTTAAGGCTTCATCTTCGATGCTTCCAACAAAGCATTGACGCGGTGATGCCGTGTTTCTACGCTACAATCCCAATTCCTTTTTTAACCGAGCAAGAGTAGCTTCTATCTCATCAATATTATCCTCTATGCTGCTCTCCTTACCAGCTTCGTTTTGACCAACATTACCTGTTCTCTGTTCCCCGGAGCTTCTGAAAGGATTGCCTTCATCATTTTTATTTGCTCCATCTTCTGGATCCGTTATGTTGAGTTCTTTCTCAAGAAACTCCACAAGTTCTTCTCCAATCTCCTGCAAAGTGTAAATCCAAACTATAAGAGAGGTTTCGTTGGTAAACGTTCACGTTGAAACACTGGCATTTGCAAGTCATAACTTCAAATGGCCGCAAAGATGGTTTAGTTTAATTGCGTTTTAAGACAGGTATAGTGGGAACTTAATAATCTCTCACCCCCAGTTCCTCCCATAGACTCTTTGGCTTTCCTTGTGACGAAGCACTCGCTTCCCAGTTCTGGAATTCTTCTTGGATGTCTTTAAAGAAGTCCTCTGCAGTACCAAAAAAGACCCATGACGCCACTATAATTTTAATTGCATTAAAGAGGAAAACTAAATGGCTCGTTGAGATTTGAGGACAATGCAATGCAAACATTACGGCCTGTATGATGTCTCACAGAGAGGACAAATCTACCTATTGTAATTTGAACATCCCTCAAAAAATTACCTGCACAATGAAGGGCTTAAGAATAAGAACGTGCTAAAGACACCTGTATATAGATTGGTCCAAGCTATATTTTGGTCCATATAAGACACTACACATCAGTGTCTTAACAATTATACAGATAATCAGTTGAGATTTAAACGGTCATTTGGACCAAAAGATCCTTCGAGTGAAGGTCCGATTAACTGCATGTTTGATACTGCAATGTCACAGGAAGCATGACATCTTTGTCCGACGGATTATCAGACATGTTTCGAGTGGAACATATATAGTATTGGACTATATTGATTCATAATGAAAAAAGTTCTAGAAGACAGCAGAGTTCATGCACAAGTTTACTAAGTTCTTACCAAATCCGTAAAACTCCTCTTCATCTTGAGACTTCTTGCTCTGGTTTCTTTGAGTAGAGGAATAGGAATAGTCAGATCCGAAATTAGAGTCGTATTTTCCCCGAGATTTGGAACTCAGCAATGTATTGTAGGCATGCTTAATCCGCATAAATTTCTCCTGCGCATTTTCCTGTACAAACAAAAAAATTTAGGACTAGCCCTTGCTAAGCACTCTTGATAGAAGGGATGAGCTAAAAAACAGATTCAAAACAGCAATTCATATCCACTACAGGCAACCGGAAATTTGGAAGGGCATGAATCACATGTCACAGTTTAGCACACAACGTAATGTGCCTCGACAGTTGGCTTGGTGCCACAAATCACAAAATACGATTCGGGTAGCAGCATATCCTAGGATCATTTGTTTGGAGTTTGGTGGAATCATTTCAAGATTGTTGTCACAGTCTGTAAGAACAGAATCCTTAACACCATAGGATTCTTTCAACAAAAGGGATAGTTATAACCCCATATACACTGTACTGTTATTCATGAATCAAATCAAGGAGTTACATGGTAGCAGCTAAAATCGGTCCTAGGGGTTCAAGGAGCCATAATTCTACACAATCCCTCCCAGAGAGAGAATGTACCTCTGGCAATAAGCCTGAGGTTTATCCCCCGACAAGGCAACAAGGGTGATACCACATAGAATGTATCATTCTGCATTCATTTTCTCTAATCCAGAAACATCATAATACTCAGTTATGAAAGATCCTTAACTTCCCCAATTGGGTAACTAAAGAATAACATACTTAACTCTTTTCTGCAATGGGTAACTAAAATATAACATAAGCTTCTGCAAATGAGTAACCAACAAATAACATAGTTTATAACCAACAACAACAAAGCCTCATCCCACTAAATGGGGTTGGCTGTTTGAAACCTAGAACAACAGTGCGCTCAGTTTTGCGCCAAGTCCTCCGTTAGCTCAAGCATAGTTTATAACCAAACTCCAAAAAAATAAAATTGAAACTGCCTCCTCCAATGAATTGGCATCCTTTAAACTTGGTAAGCAAAGATTTAATGAACACAAAATCAAATTAAACACCTAAAAATTATATCATCACACAAATAATTAGGGAAAAAAAAAACTACCCAGAAATTAAAAACCTTCAATTTGCAGCTAAAGCACTAGCAATTCCACAACCCCACAAAAATATAAGTTATGGGTTTGAATCCGTAAACTGTTAATTACCTCTTTGTTAACATCGGGGTGATACTTAAGAGCAAGTTTGCGATAAGCCCTTTTGATCTCGACATCAGTTGCAGAAGGAGACACGCCCAGAACCTGGTAAGGAGACTCTCTGCGACTCGCTCTCAAAACGGTAGCAAAACGCCGCCGTTTCTGGTTCAAATTCGAGAAGCTGGTTACGGGTTTCGAAAATTCGAGTCGGGTTTGCAGAAAAAGCAGAGATCTCGAAGAAGAAGAAGAAGAAGAAGAAGAAGAAGAAGGAGGGAGGTTGAAGAAACAGAGGGTGTGAGGAGTTAGAGGCAGGAGAGCCAATCCATGCATTGTTCGTCCGGGGAAGAATTTGTGAGAAATTTGATAGTTACTTTCATGTCCCCTGGAAGATTATGGTTGAGAAAATGTGAAGCTTTGGAAGTTGGGTTGTGCTGCTTCCATTGGTGGCTCTGTTTTGAGCTTCCAACGTTTTGGAGAGAGATGGATGGAGAGTAAATCGACGGCCAAGATTTTGGATCATTTGTTTGGAAATGTGGACCCACTTTCTATTTTGTGGGGATAGAATTGTTGCGACGCAGTGACGGTATTATAAACTAATAAAGCATTATGGTGAAAAATTGAAATGAATAACATTTGTAGTCGCTTAATGAGTGAGTTAGTCTTTGACCTTTTTTATGTATTTGTGTATAGCACGTTGAAACATTCAATTTTTGTGTGTATTATATACACAAGAGTATAGTAGAATTTTATGACAAATGATCTTTAATTATATTATATTCTCATTTGTGTTGTAATGCTAGAATACAGTTAAATAGTACAACTAACTCACATGTCACAATCTAAATCGAACGGTTTATGCTTTAGGCCTTAGGATAATCTATTAATAGGCAATTTGTAACTTCATGTGAGTAGATTAATTATATTGCGTGACGATGTTCCAGTATTTCACAATAATTCTTTCTTGTAACATGCGTAGATTGTTATCTAAATTTCACCAATTGTGAAGTATTGGTCATTGACGTCAATTCTGTGATAATTCCGTCAAAAGAGGTAATTATGTAATTTTAGTATGCTCTTTAAAATAGACTCGTATGAGTTTCACATTTTACGAATTTGTCATGAATGACCAATACTCTAAATTATGCGATAATTTTAGCGAATTTTAATTCATAGACGAAAACTACAATTCAATCATAGTTCGAGACAGACATTCCAATTTTCTTTTTAACTTTTGAAGCAAATTGTAATTGTAACCTGTACTCTTCACTTCAATCTTCTGATATAACGGTAGTTTGGTTATTCCCCGCGCTTTACAGTTGCTGTTCCAATGTAATGGGTAGTTCCAAAGTCCGAGCACTCCCATCGGCTCAGCAGAGCAACCGCATCATCCACCGTCCATTTCAATCATCACCCGATTTCTACACAAATCTGATCGAAACCTACGCTCGTGATCGACAGTTGCACTCGGGAAGAGCACTCCACGCCCATTTAATCACCAATGGGTTGGCCGGTTTGACCCGTTTTGCCTCCAAGCTCATAGCTTTGTATGTTTCTTGCGGCCAAATAGTCCATGCCCGCAAACTGTTCGACAAAATTCCCCAGACGAACATCCGCCGCTAGTTTGCTCTCATTGGAGCCTGTGCTCGTTGTGGGTTTTATCAGCAGGCAATGTGCTCGTTCTGTGCGATAACAAGATTGTTATTCCCAGTGTTTTGAAAGCCTGTGGGCACCTCTCGGATGTTAAAACCGGCGAGAAACTTCACGCTGTGGTGCTCCGGTTCTCGTTTGAATTCGATGCTTTTGTTAGTAGTGCTCTCATTGATGTGTACTCGAAGAACGGGAGTGTAGAGAAGGCGCATCGGCTGTTTGATATGATGGTGGAGAAAGATTTGGTGGCTTTGAATGCTATGGTTTCGGGATTTGCTCAACACGGTTTGGCTAGAGACGCGTTGTGTTTAGTGGAGAAAATGCAGCTCGAGGGAATAAAGCCTAATTTGATAACTTGGAACAGTTTGGTTGCTGGGTTTTCGCAGAAGGGCGATGAAGCAATGGCGTCTAAGCTTTTGAAGTTGATGCGCTCTAATGGAATCGAGCCTGATGTGGTATCCTGGACTTCAGTTATATCCGGGTTTGTGCAGAATTTTCAGAACGATAAGGCTTGTCGAACATTTAAGCAAATGTTGGGTCATGGATTGTGTCCAACTTCGAATACAATTAGTAGCCTCTTGCCTGCTTGCACGGGTGTGACGAATGTGAAGTCTGGGAAGGTGGTTCATGCTTACGCGTTTGGTGATAGGAGTTGAACAAGATGTGTATGTTCGGAGTGCTCTTGTTGACATGTATGCAAAATGCGGATTCATATACGAAGCAAGAAGCATTGTTTTGCAAGATGTTTAAAAGGAGCACTGGTAACATGGAATTCGATGATTTTTGGATACGCGAATCATGGGTATTGCAACGAAGCAATTGAGCTTTTCAACCAGATGAAGTTGGAGGATGACAAGAAACTCGATTACCTGACTTTCATAGCAGTTCTCATCGCATGTTGTCATGCTGGAATGATTGAACTTGGAGAAAGCTTGTTCAGTTTGATGCAAGAAAAGTATGAGATTGTGCCAAGACTAGAACATTATGCGTGCATGGTTGATCTTCTAGGTCGAGAAGGGAAACTCACCTGAGGCTTATGATCTGATTAAGGCAATGCCGATGGAGCCAGATTTGTTCGTATGGGGAGCCTTATTAGGAGCATGTCGGAATCATGGGAGTATTGATCTTGCTGAAGTAGCGGCAAAGCATTTGTCGGAGTTAGAGCCGGAACGTGCAGGAAACAGTTTGCTAGTGTCAAGTCTATATGCTGGTTCCGGCAATTGGGGGAATGTTGCAAGGTTGAAGAAAATGATGAAGAGAAACAAGATAGGGAAACTTCCGGGATGCAGTTGGATGGAAGCTGCCTGATATACGAGAAAGGCCCTCGAAGGAAGATTTTGAACAAATTCTGAGGCAAGCGATCGTCGAATAAATCACACTTTCTTCGCCGGAGCTACCGTTGATCTTTTCTATGCCTGCAGAGGGAAGAGAAGCTGGATAACAGTGAGAATGATAACATGAATTTAAATACTATTGATCATCAAAACAAATACATCTTCTCACCGATGTTTGTTCACCGCATACAAGTAGGTTTCAGCCCGACAGGATTTTAAGAACAAAGCCAGTGTAGAAGAAGAAATACAAAAGATCTCAACTACAATCTGTAGAGAGGTACAGTATGAATTATTTCAGTTGACAACATAACTTAAACAATGAATTAGTTACGAACGCTCTCTGCCACTGTGGGTAGGTATCCGCCATTTTACTGCCGTTGTAAAAGCTACCGCTTTATCTGATGAAGTCTCTCTGTAGTTATCTTCAAACAATCTGCAAATGATGCGCATAAATTGTACAATAAACATCAATTTCAAGTCCAAGAAGAAAAAAAAAATCATAACCTACACTTACAAAGGATCCATGTACCCCGAATGAACTACCAGTACTATTATGCGACAGAAACCCAAGCTTTAACCGAGAGAAACAAGGAGAATTGGCTAAGATACTCGCTATTCTGAAGATCATCATACAAAGGCAGAGACTGTAAAAGGTTAACTAAAGCAATTGCAAATGTATTTACGTAATATCGGAACATAACACATCGCCATACATGACAAGGGAGGTGAAAAGGTGATAAAAGCGTTCAACCCAGGATTGAAGGACAGGTAACAGACAATTGCAATATCTTTATTGACTTCTTTCCATTGAATCTGGAAAGAAAAGGCTTAATACCTTATTGATACAAAGAATATATAAACCAAGAACAGGTCAGGGATGTGCTCGACGCCCTCGGTGTCAACAATGTAGACTAGGAGCAAACCTCCCACTGTTACGTAACTTGGAAGAGGAGTATAAATTTAATGAGGGGAGTTTTGCTACATTGGCTATTCATTCAAAACCCATATGCCTCTAAAGTTTCTCCACATAATTCCTAAGAACCCTTCCCGTGCCTGTCAGGTTCGGGATTACCAATCAAGCAAGCTTACAGGTTGAGTTCGAAGAGTTAGCTTTAACCAACATGCTGAAACTTCTGAATCTACACAAAAACATACATTTAATAATCGGAATTTCAACAGCACTCATCAATACAAAACTGCATTTTATACACAAACTAGCTGCAACAGCAACAAAGCCCAGAAACTGCCATAAATCATTGCTAAAGATACACAAGCTTATGAGCTGTGATCCCTACAAATGGGATAAACACTTATTTCTCGAACAAGTGACAAATAAAATGGACGAGACCAGCGCACGCCAAATGATATCACATGGAAAACACCATTTCAATCCCATAAAAAGTGAAGGGCATTACTTCAATTCTTTTGTTCTATGAGGCATAAACTTAAATGCAGTGAGACGAGATTCTACGTCCACGATGGTGCGGAAATGGATTTGGAAATTCAAGAAGCAAACTCTATCATCATTCGAAACTTACGATGTCAAATAATACACAGGTCGGGAAACACTCTGAAGATTATTCAACTGCCTAGTTCTCGATATCATTAATTTGGGTTTATATCAGTAAATACACTGCGCATTTTTAAGAATGGAAATGATTTCCGCACTCCCGTTTCTCGTTCTACACTTCTCCCTATGTTTTTGTCCGTTGATTTACCTTCATTCTTCAATCGAGCCAGGAGAGAGAAAAGGGGAGTGCGGAAATCATTTTCCTTTCGAGAAATCGAACCCCGTAGGTTCAATTAATGAGGCCTAATATAATAAGGCAAGCATGAACCAGTCAAATAAGATAAGCAAATGATAGAATCAAATCCTGATTTCCCAGCACTCTAATCCAATCAAATAAAACTGCAAAGTTAAAAATTCAGTGCACAAGCTCAAGAGAGTCGCTCACCTCAACTTTAATGTGTAAAGATTTATCATTTGTCATTCGAACCAGCATGTTGGTACGAAACCATCGAACCCATGTTGTAGTGGTGCGACTCGAACCCATGGTACGCACCGCCGTGACTGCCCGCACCGCCGGGCATGCCCATGTGCCCGTGCCCGTGGCTCATCCCGAGAACCGGCATCTGCATCATCCCGGCAGGCGGGTACGGCATCCGAAACGAAAACTGCCCATTTCCGTGGCTCTGACCCGGACCCGCCTGACCCGAGCCCCCAGCGCCACCGCCACCGCCGCCGCCGCCAGACTCGTGGCGTAAGCTTTGCGGTACCGGCGTGGTGGCAAAAAGCTTGTCCGACGAGGAGGACCCCACGTCGCCGGATAAGCCCTGCATCCTCTTCAAGTACAGGCGGTACTTCTGCAAGTGGCTGGCGACGTTTTCGCGTGTCAATCCCTCGACGTTCATCAGCTGCATAATCGTCTTGGGCACCGCGTTCTTGATCCCCAGGTGGGCCACCACCTCCACGAACCGCTTGTGCAGCTGCGGGGTCCACACCAGCCGCGGCCGCTTCAGCGTCCGCGCTGACGTGTCGTCCGGCGAGAAATTCTCGGTCCTCAGCGCCGAATCCGCCTCCTCCGCACTGCAATCGACCTTCCGCGACTTTCTCGAATCGGATCCGTACCTCTCACCGCTCTCGTCCAACTCCACGACCATCGGCTCCACCACGTCGTCGCTGCGGTTCTCGTCGAACGACTTGTAGTTCGATGACGAGAACCCCTGGGAGTGGGCGCCGCCGCGGAGCGTCGAGACCATCTTATGCGACGCGCGGTTGACGTCGACGGCCGTGCGGCAGGGCTCCGGCGAGATGCTGAAGGCCGAGGCTAATTCGATCGGAATCAACGGCTGGGATAGCGGAGTCAAATCATCAGCGCTCGGCAGCCCCGCCTCCCACTCTGAAACCCGCGCCTCGTCGTCGCCGCCGCTGCCAGCTCCTTCGTACTCACTCATCCTCACCTCCTCACCCATTTGCAAACAGCTCAATCTCTCTCTCTCCTTTTTTTTTTTTTTTCTTTTCAATTTTTTTGTTGCTTTTTTAGATTTTTGTCATAGAATTGTTCGTGTCGGGATCGGATCGGGTTGGGAGAAAAATCAGGAGAAAAACGAAGACCAATTGAGAGAAGAAGAAGAGGAACAAGCAGATTGGAGAATCCGGGAGATTCGGAGGACTGTTTGGCAAGTGAGAAAACGGGTGGGAAAATTATAGAATTTTTTTTTCCTTTTTTCCTCTTTTTATTATTTTATTTTTCTTCTACGCTTTGTGGTAGAAAAAGTGCAATATCTGATTCGCTCTTGCGCCGACGTGGACGACTTAGCCAGATATTTTTGATCTTCCAAATATCTCATCCTTTTCTTTTACTTCTCCACTCGCTACCCCACATTGCATCAATCCTACTCGCTCTTATCTGTTGACACGTTTCACGATTCGGCACTCGTGTTCGATTTCCGGTGTGGTTGACCCGAATTTGAAATGATTGGAATGCCCTTGGCGATTGGAAGAAATGAGAGCTGTGTCGTGTGGTGGGTAGGGCCAAGTAAGCAAAGTGCTCGCGCTTTTGGTGGGTATTTTTGGTAATTAATGGTGAATATTATGTTTTCTTGAAAAATTTATTTCAAAAGCGGATGGACCAATGAGAAATGAGAGATGTTGGTGAACAGCTGTACTTTTTGGTAGGTATTGAGCTTGACGGTGATGAATACCTAATCGTACGGCGGCAAAACAAGCACTTAGTTGAATCCTGGCATTCACATATTTATTTTTGTTTTTTACATATTTCTTTTCATTTTTAGCTGTTGGATTGAACGAATTGAAGAAAATTAATGGCAAAAAATTAACAAAATATGTCGGAGGTAAAATTAGGAGTGTGAATAGCACTATATACCCTAAATACAATTAAGACTGTTTACATGTTTTGTATTAGTTAGACAGCATTTTTGCTCACCACCTGACTTATTACTATTTGATGAGTTCAAATTTTGAAATTCATGTTTATCTACTATACAAATTTCGAAATTTAAATTCATTTAACGATGATAAATAAAGTGATTCACATTACTATCACTTGAAGGTGGTGAGCAAAAATGTTCCCCATTAGTTATTATAAGTAGTGTTCTTGATTTAAATTTGAGTCGGGAATACAAGTTTTAGTTCTAGCTTGAGAAATGGAGTGGATTTGAGCAAAATTTGACAAATTGAAACCCTAATTTTGGATGGTTATATGGGTAATTTGTTAACTTATACAAAACCCGTTCATTCATAATCCAAGTTAGGGCTGAATTTTGGCATGTTAAGCCTTAATCTTGGTTCAAAAATATGCATGCCTGGCTTAGTTGTTCTTGCATGTGGATGATTGTGAGTTGTTTATGCATCAACGTCTTACATTCATTCATGAGTACGTGGTGTAGCATTCCCAACCCCGATTATGTTAAACTCCTAAGTCACTGTTTACCAAGTTTATCAAGCTTAAGTTGTAAACCTCAACTAGGAAACGGAAATGATTTCCACATATTCCTTTTCTCCTTCCGCTTACCCATGTTTATTTCAGTCCCTTGATTCTCCCTTGATTTTTTTTTTCAATTCAAAATCTAAAAATCAACAGAGTAGGTAAAAAAAAAAAAAAAAAAATAGCGTGCGGAAATCACTATATTTCAAAAGAACTTATCAAAGTTCGATTTGGGGGATTATTGTGCTAGGACTTGGCATCGGCTAGTCCATTCTCTTGGCTTGGGCTTTAGGCCCTCCATGAACAAGGCCAAATTCCCACACATTTGCGGGGAGAGAGAGAGAGAGAGAGAGAGAGAGAGAGAGAGAGACGTGGTAGCAAATATCCATGGCTACTACCACATCCGTATCTCTATCCCCACCATCACCAACCTTCTCCCATCTTCTCAAGCCAAGCCATTCCCAATTCCTCAGAACAACCCTGAAACCATCCTTCCATTTATCCTCCCCAATAACCACAACCAAACGGACCTTAACTTTCATCACCCCAAATGACAATCTCACCCAGAGAAGCACCCCAACTTGGCAAATCAGCGCCACCGCCTCTGCTGAATCCTTGCCTGCAGAAGCCTCCGTGCCACTTGAGACTGCGCAGGAGATAGTGGCCTCTAGTGACGAAGGAGTGTCTGTCGCCATTTCTGTTCTTCTTTTCGTCGCCTTTGTTGGTCTCTCCATCCTCACCATTGGGGTAATATATAAACTCAAAAAACCATGTCTTTTTTTTTTTTTAAATTGTAATTTGTTTAAGTTGCTAAATGTAGAGTTTTGGCAACTTCGTTTGCTGAATTTGGTCGCTTTGGATCACCATTGGGGTAATTTCAAAAAAGCATGTTCCTTTTATGCTCCCAGTTTGCTTAAGTGACTAAATTTATGGTTTTGGAACATGGGATTTGATTAACTTGGTAGTTTGGGATCACCGTTGTGGTAAACTTAAGAAACCATGTTAATTTTTGTAGTTCAAATTTGTTTTTTTTTTTTTTTTTTTTGCCCCCCCCCCCCCGGTTGTCAAATGATAGATTTTATTAGATTAGGTGTTAGATTAGCTAACGACAGGTTTGAACCCAAGCCGTCATGCAAGGCTTAACACATTTCCACCATTGTGCTACAGGGCCACTTACTAGTTCAAATTTGTTACCAAACTCATCTTTTAGGCATACCTGGGCTTAGCCAAGTTGACTATAGCAGTTTGCTCCACTCTGCACTCAAGTTCGAATCTATGTCAGAGTAATTTAGATGAATTTAGTTCAAGATTATCTATCATTTGTTAAAAGAAACAATAATGGTTTAGGAAACTTGGTTTTTGCTAAAATTTGGGTGGGTTTTGAATGCAGGTGATCTACCTAGGTGTGACGGATTATCTGCAGAAGAGGGAGAGAGAGAAGCTTGAGAAAGACGAGGAAACTAACAAGAAGAAGAGCGGGAAGAAGAAGAGGGTGAGAGCAAGAGCTGGCCCTAAAGGATTTGGCCAAAAGATTACTATCGATGAAGAAGATGATGACTGAAATGCTATTGCTCCTTGTAAGATTCCTTTGAAACATTTGCTGCAGATTTTAAATAGTAGAGTTAAGAAGTTGACAATTCGTTTTGATGCAAACCTTAGTTGTGGTACAAACTTGTCATTTCGAGTAATTTAACATACCGCCAAAGTGACATCCCTAGTCAAAAGTCCCTAAAGTGACGCATGTCTCTTAACATAATGCATATGAATGCTAAGGACGTAGTTATTGTGAACCTCAACCTTTTCTCACTAAGTGAGGTCAACTGTATGAATCCTAAAACGTCACTACGCTCGGCTTGGTTTTCCGATGAAGATTCAGGAAAAACCAATTCAAAATGAACTTGTAACAAAACATTCTAACACATTTGAACAATGACAAGGCGATAACACGATTAAAGAGCAAATACATGAGATATATAGCAATGAAACATTATACTTCCATAGAAAACTGTACTTTATGTGATAAAAAAAAAAAAGTCATTACGATACACTTCATAAGAAAAAACTGTGGCCTCGCCTAATCATGAACAGCTCTCCACATGGCAACATTTGTACAGTCACGTCGACATATAAACTACCTCACCATTAATCATTTTTTACACCCTTAAAAAACTTGTAGTCATTTATCTCCTCTGCAGGGGGCATCAGATGTGTTCATCACCTGAACGCACAGCCAGCTTCGACTCTACGTATAAGCTTTAAAACTACACAATGTACAGTTTTCCAGTACATAGCAACAACTTTATTTTCAAACCGCCTCGTACCTGTCTTCGGAAAGATAGGCAGAGTTGGTCGTAGCTCTAGATACGAGGGAGAGAGACGACAACGAAGGGAGGGAAAACACACACTAGCCTCAGTTAGCTGTACAAGCAACTTTATTTTCCTACACCGCCTAAGCAGGGTGCTGAGCAGACTGAGCAACTCTCCTTTCTGCAACCATTAAGGTTACCGTAAGAAAGTTTCAAAGAATTAATCATACCACAGTTAAGACAATAGTGAAGATGTCATGTCGGCATTGAATAAATGAATGCATGAACGCAACGATATCAGATATTATAGGAGGGAGACGTGTCTTTGCTAAGATATATGAGCCATCGCCTATACGAAGATAAATATAGTAATAAATATGGCATAGTGAAGAAACGAGAGAAAAGGAAGCCAAGAATGACACCCCAATCCATGGTAAGAGACATACGTTGGCATGCACATTGGTGGCAACTCTCCTTCCATGATCTCTTACGAGGTAGCAGGTATAAAAAAAAATGGCACCGACAAATATTTGCACGCAGCCATATATCAACTCCTTTAGCATTCAATATATATTATGCGAATGTATGTGCAAGTCATAAAAATATTTGCAGTGCACAGACATAAAAATATAAAAAGGCAAAGAGAAGAAGGATTACCCCCAGCAGCAACAAGTTTTTCTACACGAGCAACAATATGCTTTCCATAAGTGTATTTCTTTAATGCATTCAAATGAACTTTAATTCGGGAAAGAATCAGTTCACGTTGTTGGTCATCACAAGTCTCCAACACTTTTTGTACAACATAGTTCGCAAATTGATCCTTCATCATTGCCTGCATATAATAAGGTTAAATTATTAAAAAAAAAGGACAATATGCCAAGGACGGGAGAATACATATCTAAAATATACGGGAAGGAGAATAATATCAGAATTAGTCACGCAAAAGGAATTCAAAACATTTAAAACCGCCATGGAAACAATAGGTACGCATAAACCCCAAGATATGATCACTTTTGTAGTCACGTGACAGATAAAATGCAAGTTCTTAACTTGGGTCCCATATTACGTCACCTGTGTACAACGGCTGATATATTCAATCCCGATGGAGATCCATAGGCTAATGAAACTACTTTTTTCCAAATAAATCTCAACCAGTTGTATTGTTCCGACCGCTACTAACAAGCACAACTATGCACACAGCTAATCACAAAGTACTTGCAGTATATTGGTAAGAAACCCAAAAAGGTTCAAGAACTAAATCTCAAATGGCAGGAACATATTGTCAAATTGCTTCCAAAATTCAATAGATGGAACCAATGGCTGTGATGATTATGTATACACTTTTTACAATTACACTTAAGAGAGAAACAATGAGTCCACGACCTTATTTTCAACAGATTAAAGTACGTAATATGCACATAGATATGTAGCAAACCTGAAGAGGCTCATTTTCATCAGTAGTGCCAAGCATCTCATTCACTAGCAATTCACGCTCAGCAGGACCACCAAAAGTTAAACACTTCTCTACTACATTGGACGCAAACTTCTGCTGGCTCATTTGGACTATTTTCCCAGCTAATTCTTTTATGATAGCAGAGCGCTCATGCGGTTTTCCATGCTCCAGCACATGCTGTTTATAAAAGAAATCAAGCAATTTACGACAAAAGCATTGAAGACTATCTACATTTACATATAGATACTGAAAAACATGGGTCAGAAGTATTAACACGGCACTAAAATAAAATTTCTTGTGTATAAGAATAAAATATCAAAAAACCAGATTGTAGAAAGAGCTCAAGTAGTCATGTTAAAAAAATAAAAAACAAAAAATAAGCCAAGTGGTCTGCATGCAGCTCAAAACTTGACTTAGTTCACCTTGCTAAAGTTTTCCCATTCAAACAAGTTGAACAATCGTCCCTAATAAGCATGAAAAATATCTTTTGAGCACGAATAAAATTCAAGCTCAGCTCATATTCAAGAAAAGATTATCTCTTTAAACTCTAATGAAAACTTGAGCTTGTTAAAGGAAAGTTCAAGCTACGCAAAGATCGTCTCAGTTCAATCTCAACATCTCAATTTAACTGCAAGAGAATAGTTGCTCTTCATGCTCATGGCTTAGCTGGACAAATGAACATCTAAAAGAAAAACTGCTAAACCCCAAAAGGTTTTTGTAAAGCTGTGGACTGCTTGACAGTAGTGCCTTAGTGCCAATCATAGGTACATGGTAAAACAAGCCACTGTAGTTGTCATTCAAACTCAAAAAATTACGAAACAAAATCAATACATGTTGATGAAGAAATAAAGAATCAAAATACATTGATGGCTTAGCAGCTATATGTTCTATGAAACTATAATGCAAGAAACAGAGGAGTATGTCCTGATGCGTAAAAAGCAATAAAGGTAAAGGGTGATGGCAGAGGTGTGCCAGAAGAACAGAAATCTTGTTACGAAGTTCACAATGACATGGTAATAGAATAAAAGGATGAGAGGGAGTAGAGATAGATACGTCAGGATTTAACCGCATGTGTAGCACAGAAATGTTTAGACCAATATTTAAAAATTAAGCTGAAAGCAATAATTGAAGAACATCAGTATCCCACAAAACAAGTAGCACAAAAGCTCATATCCAAAGGGAAAAAGAAGACAAACATTACCAATATGAAGTTCACAAATAACAGTACATCAATAAGAAAGAGTATGAACCTGAACGACATAATTGCCATACTGATCTTGTGCCAACATGCTAACAGCTCCTAGAATCTCATCCATAACTTTACTCTCTGTATTCTCATCTTTGCAGTGCTCAAGAACTCTCTGCCAAATGAAAATATTATTGAATATTACACATTAGTTCTTTGTTGAAAAGAATTACCAGATCAAAGAACAAAAAGAAAAGAAAGTATGAAGTATCTCCACCTGTATCACACGACACCCATATGGATGGGTTGAAAGGGTCACGACTTGATCAAAAAATGTTGACACAATAAAACGAATGGCCTCTTCAGGGACACATTCAATACACTTCTGGATGACATGGTTCCCATTCTGATCACGTACGCAGCGCATGACATGACCGTCAAGTTCTTCAACCATTTTGATCTTTTGGTCCAGATCAACAACTTCTATTGCCTGAACATGATAACAGTACATTACTGCTAGAACGTACCATAGCAAGCCTTGGATAAACACATGAATCTTAGTTACTAGCATTAACATCAATCAGATCATGAGCGTTGGTATGTAGTTATTATCAAGCCTCCCTTGCTGAACAAAAGCATAATAATGGAATTAATGGTTAAATATAGAGGATACAGCATACAGATACAGTAGTTGTTTCTACCGGTACTACCAGAACAAATGGTTGAACAATTAATCATCAATATGTCAAAAGCTGATTAGAGATCTAGTCATAAATTATTGTTACCTTCTGGATCACCCGACAACCATACATTTGAAGGCTAAGTGTCAGTACATGACTGAAAAGCTTGTTGGCCAATTCCCTTCTCTGAGGTGGAAGTCCATGCTCAAAAAACTGAATAAAAACACCAATTATTACCATGAATCATACACTAACAAGTACAAAGAAAACTAAAGCATGTGTGCAAGGATCATTATTTACCTTTTGAATCACATAATTACCAAACACATCAGTCATTAGAGCAAGAGCTTGAGGCATGATTTCTTGATAAACCATGTTTTTCTCTTCTGTAGTGGCAGTTTCAAGTTTTTGTTGAATAAAACGACTCCCATACTGATCCGCACTGCTCATAAAAATACAAAATTATCATAACCAACTATATGATGAAATCATAAAGAGAGAGATGACAAGAAAATTTATTAGTAGTTGATACCTGAACTCCACAACATGTCCGCCGATCTCTGAAAGTTCAAAAGACTTGGCTTTGTTGCTCTTAAATTCTTCTAAGAGTGAAGAAGCAAAACTTTCATCTATGTTACATCCACCATCCAGGTGCCAGGGAGCTAAATTCCTCATCCCAGAGGGATAACACATATTGAGTTCATTGTGCCTCATAGGAGTAGCTGGTCCAACTGGAGAGTTAGGAATAACAGGAGGACTTCCAGGATAAGACATGCCTAGACCAAATGCAGGATTTCCATAATACCCCTGATGATTAGGACCACCAGACTTGCCAACCATAGGAACACCATACTGTGACTTTTGTGGTGACAGCAAGGCTCCAAGATACGCCTTTTGAAGTTCAAGTAAATTCATGTACGAATTACCCAAGTAGTTCCTATCCACAGAAGGATCATTAAGAGCACCAAGCTGTGCTGCAGCATACTCAGATGTCCTCAAGTACTGAAGATACATAGGATCAACAAAGGGAGCCTGAAGACCGCTCCCTGCAATCGGACTCCCCAAGCCACCAAGATTAAGTGATTCATTTGCAACAGCTGCTAGGTTTGGTCCAGAGGACATACGGCCTCCAAGCACTCTTGAATCCATTCCAGGGGATCCCATAGCTGATTCAAACAAGGGTGGAAGATTACCAGTGCCAAGTTGGCTAGCCACCATGGACGCCAACGCTGGATTCATAGAGTACCCACTTAATCCATAGTTAGGAAATGGTGAGTTTGCATGATCCACTTGCTGATACTGATGATGCAAGCCACCCCCACCATTAAGATTGGATGCGGGAGATCCTTTTGAGTACAAGTTACCCGAAGAAACAGCAGACTTTTGCAGTTCAACTTGCCTATCAGAGGAATCTGACCCACCGCCATTGCTCTTACCCAAATCTGTGTATGAACCTTTTGCAGAGTGTGGAGCAGAAGGCATGTGCATATGCGCAGATTCAGACTTCTTGAGGTATGCAAGCTGCCTGGCATGATTCTCGCCACCTTGAAGACCAAACAGATAATTCTGGTGATCATCTACATCTTGCTTAATCTGTGATGGCAAATGGCTCTCATCATCTTTTACACCATTTGCAGACAAGTTCATGCCGGAAAATGCGCCCACCAGATCCCCAGACTCATTCCTGCCAGATGAGACACCATTGAAGGAACTTGGACTACTAATGCCTCTCTTTTCTGAAGCACCAACCCTTCCTCCTCCAATAGGTGTGAGGCAAGGACTAGGAGCCCTAGCGACAACTTGAGGATCAGGAGTGGTGCTTCTTGATAAGGAAGCACCTAGAGCTGCAGCATACGAATATGATGAAGGCGGGCCCATACTTTGTGCTGCAGATGAGCCCTGGCCATTTGCACTAGATCGTAGAGCATCAGAAGTCATCAAGTCACGGCACAAATGAGCTAGATCAGATTCGGCCGAACCAACAGATTCTGCATTGTCATCAAATGCATTACGGCTTGCTGGACGAGAAGGATGCCCAGAAACAGGAGCTGCACGACCCAAGTCATCCTGGACAACCAAACATTAACTTGTCAGAAAATGAAGTAGAGAACACAATTCAAAACAGAAAAAATTGTGCACCGGCACAATAGTCCAAAACAAAAAATGAGGAACTGTAAGTAAGATCACTATGCAACAACAGAGGTTCCAGACGAACTATATGGTGAAACCTTAACAGTAATATTGATAGGAAGGCAAAGAAAGAAATGGGAAAAGATGATTTAACATATGGCTGCATGACTAACGACTACACAAACTTAACAAATGAGCAGTGCAGTCATGAAGAGGACTGCTAAGTAGACATCAACATAATTCATAAAGCTCAGTTCATATAGAGAGTGCGATTAAGACTGACTAATTGCCATAATTACATAAATAAACTAAATTTCTTAGTTGGAGAATTTTCATTCATCAGTAAGCCTCCGCGATATCCAACATCTCAAAAGAGTGGACAAACAGTAGGTACACAATCAAGTCACTAACATAAAGTTACAAGGTGGCATTCAGTATAAGAACATTTCGATCCTGGCTAAAAGCAGCAAAGCACAAATATTAATGCTTAACACGAAACTTTTCAATTCCAAGAATCCAGATTCTCCAACACTACATTATATCAATCTCAAATATCAATGGAAACAATCAATGTCAGAAAAGACAATTCAAGGAACAAATACAAAGAGATACTAAAAGTGTTATCAACAAATAGAAGCGATCATTAGGAAAGCACAAACTTCCGTTACACGTGTACTAAATCGTAGATTGAACACAACTATAGATGCAAATCACCTGAAAGATATCGGCAAGGCTCTTTTGTTTGTTACCAAGTCCTACACCTGGCAGACCAATCAGTCCATCAACACCCCACTCTGCTGAGCCACGCACTTTGTCCGACTCGGTCTCACCCTCTTGTTTCCTTGAGTTGAAACCTGGCGGCATCGAAAACAGCGATCTTCCGCTAGCCTCATCAACCCTATTTACTTTCCTCCTGTCTCCTATCCCACCCAACACTGAACTCCCTCCTCCTTTCATCCTTTGTGCAAACCTCCAATCCTCCTTCGACAGCAAAGGAGGTGGAAGCCGCGGATTCAAGTTCACATTCGAGTAATAGTATTGAATATAAGCAGGATCAGACCTAAGCTCCTCTTCGGACTCGAACCCATTTCCATTCCTAGCTCCAGGAAACTCCGAAAAGGCGGCACCAGCACTGCCACCGCCGCCACCGCTGCCCCCGCCGCCACCGCCGCCAGCAAACAACCCACCGACCGCATTCAAAGAACCCTCCACAGTGGGAGGTGCTGATCCACTTCTATATATATTCAGCTCACTTTCGCGATCATCAGCGTCTTGCCTACGCTGCTCCCTCAGCAGCATCCCTATCTCCTTCTCGAATTCATCACCAAAGGAACCCTCGTTTCCTCCGAGCATTGGCCTCCTTCCTAATTCCGACAACATTCTCAAAAACACAAAAAAACACCTATGATTACTAACCCCCTTCTCAAAACCTCAAATTGATCACCATCAACTACCAGAAACCTAACCCTAAACCCTAAAACAATCCCAAAATCAAAACTTCCAACCTAGAACCTCCATATTTACAACCTCAAAAGTTGCTAACAAACTGATCAAGACCCAAAATTTCCAACACCCACTTCATAACTCAACTTAAACCCACAAACCCAGAAACGATCGACCTATAACAACAATCGGAGCTCATAAAGTTCTTGTCTTTCCCTGACTTTCAATCTCAAAATTTATTGAACCCGCTTATTTTTCAGCACGTTTCCCATGAAACAGCATCAACAACAGGAACAGAAGCAAAAAAAAACAGTGAGAAAGCTCAGGAAATGGTGTCCGAGATCAGAAGAGATTTACAGACAGAGATGGAGGGAAACTGACGGGCTAGATCAACATGGCGGCGATTGATTTTTTCAAGAACCCTTGTTAGGGTTTTGTTGCAGTTCAAGGAGCGGATTAAATACAGTGAGCGTTAGAGAAAGAAAGCACGAAAGAAAGTAACAAAAATGGAAAGTAAAAAAATAGTGTTATAAAAATATATTTTTCCTTCTTTTATTTTGATGTTTTTTATTGGGAACTGATTATGTCTCCTATTTCTCTCCCTTCTGGTTCATTCTTTTTAATTTTAGACATTTATAGCACGTTTACGTATAACTAATCGGAATAAAAAGCAAAGGGATAAAATTCTCTACAATTTGATGTGAATTGAATATCTGGTTATTCGTAAGATCAATCAGAATAAAAAGCGATGGATTAAAATTCTCTACAATTTGGTATGAATTAAATATCAGGTTATTGGAAAAATCGGAATGAATTTTTCTTCCCCATTGTATCACTTATATCTAAAATTTTAAGATTGGCATTCAAATTAAGTCAACACCATATTTTGTTCTCTAAGGGAAAAAGTTAATAAAAATAAAAAGAATTATCATATAAAATAGAATATTATAATAAGTGCATTTTAGTAATCACATCGATCTTCATTCTGATTCATTTAAATTAGTAAATAGTTTACATGGTTTAGTATTGTTCTTACTTCGATTCCTGAAAACTTTAGTAAATAGTTTCAATAGAAATCTAATTCTAATTCTACCTCATTCCAAATCATTCTCCATTTAATTCCTCTTATTATGATTACGTATAAGTAAACAAGTCATTAAAACAACTAATGATTTGATGTTGTGGCACATACTTAAGAACCCAATTGAATCAACAAACAATGAACATCAGATTTTTCCATCAAATGCTTGAACATTTTCGACACTGACGGAGACAGAAGATGGCCAACCAATGCTGGCATGTAGGAGAGGAGGGTAAGTAGTGGTGTGAACAGTGGTGAGAAAAGGAAGGGATGTTTAACGTATTTTTAACCGTGTAAATTAATGAAGAAACACGGATAGAGGAAGAGAGATAAATAGGAGGAGACGGAATTCAAGTTTTTTTTTTTAATATTTGAAAATAATTAATTAATGTGCCTAAAAATAGAGTTAATTGACCATGTGATAACTGATTAATTTTTAATTGTAAAAGAAATTCACAAAAAAAAACATTAAATAATATCAGTAGACTTGCATTGGCACTCTAAAAATTTATTTTACATTCCTTATAAGTGTATTATTCTTTAATGATATAGAAAATTTAGAGTTTTAAATAAGAAGTTTGAAGTGTCGGATGACAATTTTCTAATATTAAATAAAATAATATTTTCTCTACTAATTAATAAAACACTAGTTGTCAACTAAAATCTTATGAAATTACCAGTTTAATCCATCTAATTAAAACAGAACATGAATAAGAAATATGGGGCAAAAATATAATTTCACACAATCAAATTTTGTTTTTTTTTTTAAATCTCACCTATATGTAATCCTAACATATCTCTAATTAAAAAAAATTAAAAAAGAAAAAAACTTCTTACTCTCACATTCTCTATCACTTTTTTCCTCTCCCCTTCTATTTCAAAAACAAAAATAAAAAATTTCCTCATCTTCAATAGAAGAATCTATGACTGCCACGTCAGCTTATTTAGATTCGCTGCTTCATCCATGATGCCAAAATATGCAGGTAGTTAAAAAGGGAAAAGTTCAGTTCGCCGCCCAGCTAAAGTTACCAGGTTAAATATTAAAATCATTCTCCCTTGCTTTATGGGTAAATAAGTTGGATTTTCCATTAGATTTTCTTTTCCATTTTTACTCTATTTATAAAAACTCTTGGTCGTAAGTTAAAAGAGAAAAAAATAAATAAAAATCACAAATTTACGCCTCACGTATTAAGTTGAAAATATCAAAGCAAAAGTAAATAAAATGTAAATATAAATTTCATATCTCAAATTTACATTTATCCACGCTAAAATTGATCTAATTATAAGTTTTAAATAGGTCTCCTATGAGCAAGTAATTTTTTGTCAATGAGTGTTTTATTTGTAATTTCTAGAGTACAACGATGTGTTGCATACACAGTTAATAACTGTGACATCCCACATCGCCCAGGGGAGTGATCCTTAAATATATATTCACATCCCTACCTAGCGCGAGGCCTTTTGGGAGCTCAATAGCTTCGGGTTCTGTAGGAACTCCGAAGTTAAGCGAGAAGGGGGCTAGAGCAATCCCATGATGGGTGACCCACTGGGAAGTTGCTCGTGAGTTCCCAAAAATAAAACCGTGAGGGCGTATGAATAACAATATCGTGCTACGGTGATGGAGCGGGCCCGGGAAGTGATCCGTCCCGGGCCGGGATGTGACAATAACTCATTTGGAAGTACTTTTATAATGAATGAAAGCATTTTAAAAAAAAAAAAAAATTCAATTTCAAAATTACTTGAATTGCTTTCTACATGAAGCAGAATTATGTACTTTTTGTAGGAATCACTTTTATTACTTTTATAAAATGTACTTGCATCTTTATTAAGAATTAATTCCAAAAATATTTTTACCAACAACGTTTTCAATTAAATCTCTCTAAAACGATAATGTATATCTACGTTGATGTACTGAAAAATAATCCTCATAACTAAAAACCCTATTGATAAATGTGTGTACTTATTTTGTATTTATGGGGTAAGGCTACCATTACAAAAAATTCAAGTTTTGTTCTTTGGTTTTTTATTTGGTTTTTTAGAAGGTTGTATTTTTGTTTTTTTATATTTAATTATCTTATCCAAAAATGTGTCACCAAATTGAACCAATTTGTCATTAAGTTATGCTTTGCCAATTTTGCTTGTAGCTTTGCATGGCTTTTGCTCAGCTGGGTCCAAAGATGCAGCTTTGGCCGATAACTTGGCTCTTTCCTCTGCTGTTGCATGACATTGTTGACCAAAAAACAATTTCTTCAAGCTTTGCTCATGAATTATGAGATTAGGTGGGCAATGGGCATCTCACCTGTTTCTCTTTTATTATCCAACAAATTATCGTCCACAATTAACGATATCTTTAAACAAAATAGACCAACGTTTTTGGCGAAAGATCTTGTTTTGTTGACATCGTTTATTTTAGCCAGATTTAAGGTATTTAGAGAGATAATTCAACTTGCAACACATTACACGACTTGGAATCGATAAGGATAAACTATCTCCAACGGACATGTCAAATTCTAACTGAAATGTCACGCAATCAATTTTGACGGTAGAAAGAAGTTTCAACCGATATATTAATTCTACATAGATTGATTTATGAGTCTTTTGCTATCAAATTTAACATATGAGAAATGTGCACTCAATTAACTTTTCTATTATTTTATTATGTGGGTCTTATTAATAGACCAATTATAAATCTTGAAAAGAAATTTAACTGATTTCTTTTTAAAAATAGGTTTTACAAATATCATTTATATAAAAAAAAAAAAAAAAAAAAAAAACATTGTGTTTGAAAAAGATAAAATCTGACATTACCACATCAACAATCAAATTAACAAGTAACATTTATCTTTTGACATCTCAATTGGAGATGCTACTCCATATGTACACGACTAACGTTGTTCAATTACAATTATACAGATGAAATTATACTTTTTCTCGTTTTTCTTATGACCCAAAAACACCTTATTTCCCATACTGGATGAAGTGCGAACTCCTTTGGATTTTGGGAACAATTTATGTACCCAATTTTTATCTTTATGCACATCTCTATTTGTGCAGATGTCACAAATACATAAAGAATCATTATTTCAATTCAAGGAAGACCAGTATCTTTATTTGCAAGATAAAGAATTATAAGGTAGATAATCAAAAGACTCGAAATGATTTAAAAAATTTCTTTATCCGAGAGATTTTTCAGTGTGACCGGCACTCAAGGTGGTACATCACGTGTCACTATACACATGGTGAGATATGTGTGTTAAAAAGTTAATAACTTAAAAAGTAAAATTTCTCACCACTTACGTAAAAACACGCCATGTACCATCCGTATTCCCGTAACAATAAAAAATTTCTCCATCCTACCTTTAACCGAATGCTTTTGTAGATATTCCCTCGTTAAGTCATTATCAAAAGGTAAAAATGAATACAAGGTCCATTTATTTGTCCTTTTTGTGCCGGGCAATTAATTTTATTTGCGATAACTGTTGAGTAGCATATGAAGTGAAAGGGCCTTGGTCACAATAGAAAGTCGAACTGAAATCTGGTTGGTGTTATCGGTGATTCATCATGTAATTTTGTCACAATTTTGCTTATACAGTACTATATCCCACATTCCTAAACAACCACGGGGTGGAGCTGTAGTTGGAGATAAATTATATGTCCTTATTTCATCCCGACCCGGGGCGGATCACTTCCCGGGCCCGCTCCACTACCGTAGCACGATATTATCCGCTTTGGGCTTACCATTCCCTCACGGTTTTTGTTTTTGGGAACTCACGAGCAACTTCCTAGTGGGTCACCCATCATGGGATTGCTCTAGCCCCTTTCTCGCTTAACTTCGGAGTTCCTACGGAACCCGAAGCCAGTGAGCTCCCAAAAGGCCTCGTGCTAGGTAAGGATGGGAATATACATTTAAGGATCACTCCCCTGGGCGATGTGGGATGTCACAATCCACCCCCCTTAGGGGCCCGACGTCCTCGTCGGCACACACGCGACCAGGGTTAGGCTCTGATACCAAATTGTCACATCCCGACCCGGGGCGGATCACTTCCCGGGCCCGCTCCACTACCGTAGCACGATATTGTCCGCTTTGGGCTTACCATTCCCTCACGGTTTTTGTTTTTGGGAACTCACGAGCAACTTCCCACACGAGAACTTCCCGATGGGTCACCCATCCTGGGAATGCTCTCGTGCGCTACTCGCTTAACTTCGAAGTTCCCATGGAACTCGAAGCCA